TAAACCAGGATGTATCTAGCATATCAATCTCATAGTAACCATCCTAAACTAGGATGTATCTAGCATATCAATAACATAGTAACCATCCTAAACCTGGATGCAGGCCATAAAGGGCCGACCTTGGTGACTTAGACCCTTTTGATACAGTGAGGATAACTCACCTCGTAGATGTCGACTCGGTAGATAAATCCCAACTCTCGGATCACTCGCCAAAGACTCCTCCACCTATTACCATAGTACGAGCATACTCATAAATCCTCAACCTCACAAGTACTCCATATACTAACCAGTCAACCCCAGGTCAAACTCAAAGTCAAAGTCCTCAGTCAAGGTCAACAGTCCCTATTGACCTTAACTCGTCGAGTACCCTTGGCTACTCACTGAGTTCCTTGAAGTTCTTTCCCCCTCGCCAAGTCATCGGGTGACTCGTCGAGTTCCTATGATTTTCTATCGAAACCCTAAGGCCACTCGTCGAGTTTCCTTCTTGCAACACGTCGGCTACACATGCATTAATAACTCAGGGAAAACGCATCCGACTCACCGAGTTGGTCATACAACTCATCGAGTCTAAGGAAATCTTCATCGGACTCGCCGAGTTGTTCATCAACTCATCGAGTTCATCGGCCATCTTCATATGACTCGCCGAGTCAACCTTGCGACTCGCGGAGTTCCCTCGGTCCTTCAACCATATAGACTTATTTAAGTCATAAACCCTTCAAATGGTCATGAGAATGATCTTGAATGGATAAAAATATATTGTACTCCCCCGCGACAAAATGATATATACAATGAAGTAAAAAATCCGAAAAGTCATGAAAATTTGACGTTATCACGAAAAACGACTTTTCGAAACGCCAAGACTTGATGGAATCTTTATTTTTCTGTTCACGAAAAAATATGTGCGATAAAAAATCCAAAACTGTTAACCGGCCCTCAAAATTGCAAACTTTTCTGAATATTGGGCAGAAACTGTCACTTGCTGAAAGATAGGGGCTGGAAAAGTAATTCTGCATCAATTTCCCCCTTTAATTGTAACAGTTCCTAAAATGGACATCGTACTGACTTAAGATCGATAACCTGTAAAAGATCAGACTTGTAATATATCGTTAGGGTTAGATCAACAATTAATGAGATACGTCAATCTAGAGTAACGACTCAATTAATATTAATCAATGTGGAATATAAAACCCTAAAAACTTTTTCGATAGAAGAGATGTGTATGAATTACACAGTCTCCCGCTCTGATACCAATTGATGAGAATTGAACTCTAGATCGATTAGATCTTTCACAGGAATGATTATGGAAATCAAACAAGTCAAAAGCAGTAAAAGAATGAACACAAAACAGAATCAAATGTATGCTTATGATTCAAAGCAAAGTCATGCCTCAGCAGAGCTCGATTAAGAACTTTCGTTGTATAGGCGAGCTAGGGTTACAAAACTCATAGAAGATAAACAATAAAAGCGATAACTTCTAAGACTGCATGCATGCAGCTTATATACTAAACCCTAGTACAAAAACATGCACGGTTGGACAGACCCAATACCGGCAATCAAAACTGGGCTAAGGACCGAGCCCGTGACGCAATCTCTTAATCTCAACAATCTCCCCCTTTGCATCAAATGAGGTGAGAGATCATCTCTTCTGTGTTGGATTCACCATCTTTACAACTTTAAACAGACGAGGAATTATTGCGAGAAGAGTCTGTCGAAACTGTAAGTACCACCTCAGCATGTCAGTGAATAGTTTCTTATCAGCAGCACTGTTCTGATCATACCTTTGAATGATCTCCAAGATATGCTCCAGGCAAGGCATTGAGAAGTGGTGTTTGTCAACAAGATCGAACATGCATTTTTGACCATTGCCTCTGATGAACATAATGGTGTGGTACTTTGAATCTATTTTCCCCTTGATCATAGTATTGACATTGCCAGCTCTGCCCATAGTCTTGATCGTTGTTCGCTTATGTATGGCAGAGGCAATCTCCTGGTCCATCTTCGCCACTTCATGTATTTAGCAAACAAGTATATGCTTGTCATGATCAATTATTGGCTGGTACACCTTAGGATTTGATAGAAGAATGTTGTTGAGGAGTATCCAGTCATGGGGATGCAGGTTCGGCATATCAGCGAGGGTGAAGTTGTGGACTGAGCCTTCGGTTCCTCGAGTCACCTTGAACTTGACATTAATAAACTTCCCCACTGAATAGGGCTTCAGAACCTTGAAGGTAGTAATTTTCTTTGAGCTCCAAGTCAGGTACTGGGGTTGAGCAAACTCCAAGTAAAACGCTAGAAGATCCTTGGCATATCGAATTGAAGCAATGGACGATAAATGCCTTTCTAGTGATTGGCATATCGAACTGAGTCAAACGGTCATTGACGTTAGCATGTAGAGTCGCATTGGCTGCTTCAATGGCTTGTCATGCAGCTTCAAGATTTGAGCGTTCAGAGTGAAGAGACCTTTGAAGGGTCTCTACTGAAACGTTGTGTAACAGCCCGGAATTTCAGGTATTGCTTTAAAACTTTTTGGGGCATTTTTAGGAGGGGACTCGGCGAGTTGGTGCCTGACTCGCCGAGTAGGACCACGGTCTTGGTCGCAGATTCGCGACTGGACTCGACGAGTCCATTAGGGACTCGGCGAGTCGACGCTGTTCAGCAGAAACCCTAGCCGTTTTGATTCTGGATCGTATATAACGTCTTTAGGGCCATCATTTCTCGTCTTTTGGCCGATTGAAGATAACCTAAACGTCTGTGGGCATCTGGAACAAGAGTGAAGGCTAGTAGAAACTTGAAGGAGTTGTTAGGCAAGAAGAGGCAAGGTTGTGGTCAAAGGAGGATCAAGAGGATTGAGCTCTGAAGGTTGGAGACACAGAGAACACGTTTTCCAGGTAATACTCGGATCATTTCTGTTGTTTTAGTGTTGTACACGAATCTAGGGTTTAGGAAACCCATTTAGTGATTAGATAGACTATAGTGTTGTTGCAAGCGTTTTAATCCCAGTAATAGTATGTTTAAAGGTCCAGGAAGTCCCATATCTATATATTTTGGAACCATGCGAATTACAGGAGGCAGTTGATTGGCTGCATGGCATGGACTCGCCGAGTCCAATTATCAGACTCGGCGAGTAGCTTGAAGATCCGCTTGGACTCGTCGAGTTGTTCTTCAGACTCGGCGAGTAGCTTGAAGGTTCACTAGGACTCGCCGAGTTGTTCTTCAGACTCGGCGAGTAGCTTGAAGATTTACTGGGACTCGCCGAGTCGTTCTTTAGACTCGGCGAGTGGAGTCGGGGTGGCCCCGCGATTCTTCCACAAGGACCTCGTCGAGCCAAGGGGGATACTCGACGGGTAGAAAGGGGAACAACAGGGAAGTTGGGGAGGACGTCTAGACTCGCCGAGTCGCCTTTGCACTCGACGAGTCCGGTCAAGTTGACCGTTGACCTGTATGTAATTTGGTAGGGTCAGTTGTCTTGTTTGATAAGATCATTAATAAAGGTATGTGGTATTATAGGGAGCCTGCAGATTAGCGGATCGAGTGCGAGTAGCTCCAAAGGTTTATAGCTTGCATACTACGAGGTGAGTCTTCTCACTATACACCACCCGGAAGGGTTTGACTGTGAGACCGGAAGGTCGTATGTGATACATGTTACTTATGCTATAAATAGAAAGGTAGATGCTCTACATGATATGTATGTTTATATGGGCCGAAAGGCGATATGTTATGTGATAGAAAGGACAGGTATGGTGTATGATGTATGTGCTATGTGTGTTATGCTATATGTATTATGTGTTGTAAATGTTATGGGCCGGAAGGCAATACGATACGGGCCGGAAGACGATATGTTATGGGCCGGAAGGCGATTATGTTACGGGCCGGAAGGCAATGTTATGTGGACCGGAAGGTCAGGGCCTGGAAAGGCGTATATGTGTAAGTCGTATACTGGGGAACTCACTAAGCATTTATGCTTACAAGTTGTATTTATGTGTTTCAGGTACTAGTGACGACCGTGGGAAGGCGCCGGCGTGACGCGTACACACTGCCATTGTTGGAGATCTTGGGGACTCTTTTAATTGTATTTTTGGGATGAACTTGGGATAAATACTTTTTTTGAATAATGTTGTTCTATTTTAAATGAAAATTTTATTTGAAAATTTGCGTTGTTACACGTTGACAGTTTGAGCGTTCTTAGCAGCAGCAGCCTGCAAGGAATCTAAAAACAAGTGAGCTTCAGCGACTAGTTTATCGACTTTTGCGGTCGCATCCTTGCATTCTTTAGTCGAAGCATCAACAGCGATTGAGGCTTGTTGACATTGGGAAGTAGAGGCTTCGATAGCTTTGGCTGCAGAAAATAATGTGGCACCATGTTCAGTAACAACGGAGGAGAACAAGGCCTTCAATGCAGCTTCAAAATAAGCTCCGGAGGTAGAGGATGAGAGTAGTTGATCAAGCTTCTCATTTATTGCCTTGAGATGATGCTTCGTAACAGGCTCATCATCATCATCATCTCTCTACACTCGGTAAGGACTGAAGTACGTGGAATCAAATTCCAAGTCCTCACCACCTAGAATAGGGGTTGTTTCAGTGGATTGTGTGGGAGATAAGGGTTTTAAAGTAGGTGGGGGTTCGGTTGTGACAGGTGGTTCAGTTACTGGTGGATTGGGAACAGTAAAGGGAGGTTCTGTGGTAGTAGTGGTAGTAGTGGTATCTGTGAAAATGGGAGTGGGGATAGGAATTGTAGTGAATGGTTGAGTGGTTGGAATGGGAGATATAGGAGGGATGGATACTGGTGGAGGTGAAGGTGGGTGAGAGGGAACTGGAATTTCTGGGGTAGGGGAGCGAGGCGGAGTGTCAACTTAGCCCGAAGCCTCATCTTTTGAGCTTTCGCTCTCAGATTCCGAAGGAGGAGCGTTCTTGTGCTTGGGAGGGACATATTCTGAATCGGAATCGCTTGAGGATTGCAGAATAAGTCTCCTAGCGGGCTTCTTTTGTTTCTTCGGTGCAGCCTATGACGTATCATCCTTGTCGGACTTTCGTTTCTTGGGGGTCTGCCCCTTGGTTGCTTTAGAGATAGGTCCATCCTTCTGAGTATCAAGCTTCTTCCCCCTTTTGGCAGGCTTGTCAGCCTCTTCGATAGATCGAATCATTGTTGGCGTGAGCTCCCTTGGGCCTGACGATGGACACTTCCTGTACTGTTGGAGAACGTTACTCGACGCAGAGATACGACCGATCATTGCTTCAGGAATGGATCCAATAAATGGGAACTTGGTTGGATCGGTGACTATTACTTTGGTTGTATGAAAGGTAGCAATGGATGAGAGAAAAGAATCCGCCATTATTGGGACACAGAGGAGGTCCATTGCCCAATTCGTAATGATCGTCCAAAATCATCCACATGAAATCTCAGAATGCCTTGATGAAGAGACCAAACTTTGAACCAATTGCTGCCAGATTATAGACCCGTAATCTAGCTCAATCCCATGGTACAACCCATACAACACACCATCTGAGCCAGCACTTCGCTCAGAATGTCCCTTGAATAGCAGCGTGAAAAGGCCATTCCATTGAGGAGGAAGGCATAACTTCTTGAACTTTGTGATGGTGGTTAGGGTTTCAGTATACCTCATCTGATAGAACATAGAAAACAGCTGACCAGTGGTAATGGAGTCGGGGTTTACCAGAGATTGATCTTGAAGAAGACCAATTAGGGCACAAAATTGATGCTTAGAGATGGAGGTCTTCTCATCATGGAGTTTGAAGTGAATCCTTTCATTAACCTTATCGTAGTAGGCAGTTGTGTAGACAAGGGAAAGGCAAGACATCAGCACAACTGCGACTGTAGACAGCGCTTCGAAAAGAGGTGAATATTTGATACATTCAACCACGTATAGCATGTATGGCTCGTAGATAAACGGGGTGAGATCTATGATCAGATTCTATTGGGGTTTGATGGTGAGAAGTGGTTGAGGACCGGAAGTATCGTGAACGGATGAAGAGTCTGCCATTGTAGTAGCTTGGAGAAGATGATGAACAGCTGCAGAAAATTGTTTGTGTTCTTTCGATAGATAATGGTAAGTGGTAAAGGTTGAGAGAGTACCAGTCCAATTCCTTTTATACGTACAAGGAAGAGAGAGAAAAATCCGAATGTGTAACAACCCGTTATTTCAAGTCAGTAAAAATCGAGTCCTGTAACCTCTTTGAGAAAGGAATTAGAATATCATCGAAAAATGAAGTATTCAAAAACTCTATTTGGAGTACACTATATGGTAGTTATCGTCTTAAGGTTTCCAAACATATAAATAACACAAAAATCTGAATTACAACGAAGAAGTTATGATCATTCAAAGCCTTACGACAAAAACCGGCAATACAATGTTGCATAAAAACGCAAAGTTCCAATAAAACACTTTCCGACCTTAGGTGTCTAAATGAAAGTCGTAGATATCATTAAACTACAAACATGCATAAAAAGAACGCTCAAATCAGACATCGTATGAATAAGTTATGAATTTTTTTTAAAGAAATTCCTTAATCACGTCATTTTAATAAATAAATAATAAAAATAATTCCAGAATTTCCCAATGGAATCTAAATGAAAGTTGTAGATCGTAGTCTCACCTTCGCGGGGATATAAAGAACATCAAAAACGGGGTTCGTATGAAGGAGATATGAATTTTCGAAGTTTGATAAATAATTTATATATAATTTTTATTCAAAATTCGGTATTATCCGAAGAGGAGTCAGCCTAGGGCTGTAGTACGCGCCGCGTACCCTCGTACGCCCCGCGTACCCGAGGAACTTGGCCTCAAACCATCCACGTTGCCCTATGCGAGGCACCCGACCCACCCGTCCGACCCGACGTCCCATCCGACCCGACTGCCTGAGCCGTCCCATCCGAGGCCGAGGCAGTCGAGGCTTCGGTCACGCATGACGTACGCGTACGCGCTGCGTACGAGCGTACGCCCCGCGTATGAGGCCTCTTAGGCCACCCTATAAATAGCATGCGAGGGTTCCCGGGAAAAGGGCCAATTCTCTCTCCTTTTTCTTGCGTTTTACCTCGTTTTTCGTGCTCGCACTACCCCGAAGCCCTGGTCATTTTGTGCAAGTCCCAAAGGCCGATCTTTCTCCCGAGGAATCCCGAGATTTCCGAGGAAAATCCATTTCCCGAGACGAAACTCTGCCCGGTTTTCCATCTTGCAATCTTCAAGTTTTTCAAGTGAGTTAATACCCCTTTCAAACACACTTTAAATACATTTTTAAATGCTTTTATACTCTTTTAGGGGGGGGGGAATACAAGTAAACATACGGTTATCATCGTGTATTTTATAAAGTTTCACTTCACTTGTGTTATCAGATAAACCACTTGGAACTCATTACTATTATGGAAAACTCTTGTCATACTTTGTGTGCATTAGACTTATACGATGTATATAATGGTCTTTCATTGTTAAATCTTTTTATACATTCTAAAAATTTATGATTTTGCTTTATCAAACATTGTGAAAAGGGATAAACTTTGCATACAAAACTATCACTTTAATATCAACTTAATTGAGAATCTATGAGCCGTGTACATCTTCAAACGTTACTTTCTTTATTAGAAAGTACTGCAGTAAGTCCTGTTTATAACCAGAATCTCCCGCGACGAGAACGTGTCAAATGTGTATAGATCTATACGGGAAGTCATGATCCCACGCCCTGACTGTTAGCTACAGTCCGTCTTTTGGGGTGACAGTTGTCATAGCACTGCGACGCCTGAAGAACGTCGTTACAGGCATATTATGTTTAGTATGGTTATAAAACTCATCGGATATACAATTATTATGGTATTATGCTTTTATGAACGAATAGCTAATAAAACTATTCTTTAGCTAACGATTGTGATCTTCGTATAGCTTTATTATATAAAACTATGACACAACTTACGAGAACGTCGGTTTAGAGACTACCATTTATTTTAGGAAAATAAGGGTTTCTCCTGCATACAAACCAAACAACTAATAGGAAAATAAGGGATTTTCCTGGTGCAATCATTTACAATTTACAATACGAACATTTATATGCATTTCATGCTTTTATAAGAAAATAAGGGTTTTTCTTGGGAAAACACAACCATTCGTATTTCAACCATTAGGGAAAATATGGGATTTTCTGGATCTAATACATTCATTTGCAACACAACAAATCACAACTCTTTACATTTGAAATGCTACGTTTTCTGGAAAACATACACCCATTTTGGAATGGCATCCAATTTTTCTAAACTACTTATGGACTCACCAACTTAATTGTTGACACTTTTTCTTTGAAATAACTTGTATTCTCAGGGAACCGCTAAGCAGGTTTGGGAATCAACTTTTGGGATTAACGTGCTGGCGTTAATTACTTCTTTTGAATGATATTTATGTATTTATCTTTTGAACATGTAATGAATACTCTATGTAAACATCTTGGAAACTTTAATTTATATGGTGGTGTGTACTTTCCTTTCTATGAACTGTTATGATACTGGATATGACGTCCTTCGCCCCCGAACGTTTCCGCCGTTCTGGTTTGGGGGTGTGACAGATTGGTATCAGAGCTTTGTTTATAGGGAATTAAGTATATCAAAACCATTCCTTTTTTATATACAACTATAAACTCAATTGGGCAAAAACACTCTGAGGAAAATTCATACTTTTGAAAGTAAATCTAATTAGTTTTAAGGTAAGCATGCACTCATTTTTATACTAATAACAGTTTCATAGTAAATAACTTTAGAAGTATTAAAAATAAGTTGTGCAGCACAGGTACGCCTTGGGACATGTAATCGGAACTGGGAAGAATATAGCCTGATCAACTATATTTGTCCAAGAGCCGACGAACGTATGCCAAGGAGTGTCTGTAATGGACAACAAATTTAAAACTTACCAAAAGCATATCGCTAAAGAATATTAAGGGAGTATTCGAGTGCCGTCAACCATTAAACTTAAGGGTAAGTTTCATGTGCTCTAGCTTATAATAAGCTTTTAACTCTATTCTCGTACAGTCTAAATGGCGGGATTCCATCACCCCAATGACCCCTACTACCCCAACCAAGGTAATGGAGGGTGGATTGAAGAAGATCCTGAAGAAGACGAAGAGCCTATAGAGTTGGAGGGAGGGGATGACTCTGGCACGGATTCGGAGCCAGAAATTATAAATCCACCAATCCCACAATCTCCCATCCACGTGAGGAATTTCCAAGGACCCACTCCAGTGTGGGGAAGTCATCTCCATCATTGGAGCCAACAACAAAGCTTACGCCCTCCATACGGCATGTGCCGAGACTTCTATGATGCGAGAGGCGGGGGATCAGCCGACCGAGCACTTCCGGTCATGGTTGGCAAACTCGCCAACCAGTGCTATCAATCCGGAGTGCAAGCCAACCGAATCCGAGAGGTCAATGTGGAAGTACAAATCCACACGGCCGATATCAACCGCCTAGAGTTGTTGCAGAACGACATCCACATTCGCGCCGAAGCGTTTCAAGTACAAGCAAATGCAGCCTTCGCAGAATTAAGAGAACAACAAGCTGCGTTTGATAGACGCCTCATGGAGTCGAAGCAGTCCGACACGGAGTCAAGCTCCAAACGCAAAGCGCACCGCAAGTAGTACTTGCCCAACTCTCAAATTTTGTTATAAATTAGGACTTCGGATAAAAGTATTATTTTCTTTAAATTGTTCTGTAATCGGAGGCCTTTAGAAAGGCCAAGAAATTTTGTCTAGACCCCGCTGTAACACAACTATATGTTTAATATATATAAGGGTATACCCCTTTTCTTGTTGTTGTTAATCATGCACAAATCGTTCGGTTCGTTGGTACATCTATTCAAACTTTACTTTCAAGCTCAAAACATTGTGTCAGTCAAACCCAACTTCTTAGAACTATTAGAAGTTAACTCAAATCATTCAACTCTGAACTGCCAAAACTTATAAATTTTTCCATATTTTTTTTTCTTTTGGCAGCACGATGCCTCCTCGTCCAAACCTAAGGCCCAGGCCGGGCACGGTACCACCACCACCTCCACCACCAGCTTATGATCCAGCCATGGTTCAGGCTGCTATCACAGCAGCAGTAACTGCAGCCCTCTCACAAATAAACTCCCACGGAAATGGAGGGGCGGGAAGCAGCACGAATCATCCAAATCATGGCACTGGTCATGGCCAAGGAAGAGAATGTACTTACAAGGAGTTCTCTAACGCTAAGCCAAAAACTTTTAATGGAACTGGGGGAGTCATTGCACTAATGCAATGGTTCGAGAAGACCGAAACGGTCTTCGAGATCTGCTCATGCCTAGAAGCAAGCAAAGTCAAG